TCAGTGACATTTTCAGTTCAAAGTTTAAGGTTTTAACAAATGTCAGTTCATAAAGAAAATGCTTCTTAACAAAAGCCATGCGCACTGGTATTTTAAAAGTATGATTAACGCAACGGTGTTAACATATCGATAACAATGTGACTCACTGTTGAGTCATGCAGGAACAGAGGCTTAGCTTTTCAGGTTTCACTGATTTCTAGCATCACCATAATTCATAGTGTAGTGATGAAATGAGTGGGCTACTTTATTAAATTTTATAAATTGCAACAAGGGAACTAGGGTTACTTTAGATTATTAACGGTCACCCATTTCTAACATTAGGATTTCCTTCAAAATTTTCCACTGCAACTACTCTTGCCTTCATCTAGAAGCACTATATAAACTTTCAACTGCAAGGATAGAAAGTGCAAGCTTTCATCCAGATGATTATCGTAATCCTTTTGATTTGCTATCGTACAACAATAGTATGTATCTATGATATTTTACTAATTATCAACATGGAACAACTATAGATTTTTTTGGGAAATATTGAATTTTGCAATAACCTAGAATTTTCTACGTTACGTATGACGGATGGAGGAAGGCTTTTATGTTTATCAAACTCAGCGTACGAACATACCCGCGACTAGAGTTGAGTGAGCGTATTTGAGGAAATTCTTGGTATGGTGTTGTCTTGCGCAGCTGACAATGAAATGGCCGCCGTCAACGTTTAAACATCCCGCGCAAAGACCGTTCTGCCCATTCATCCTGTCATATACTGTAGATGTAAAAAATAACTCTGTACACGTTATGCACGTTATGCGCAAAGTTCAAGTGTTTCTCCTACTATCCCATAAATATAGCAAAAAAAAGACACTAAATGTGACCCAATTAAATTTTTTCCGTACCGAGGAGGGAAACGAAGGAACATGGACACATCTGCCTTAGATCCCGTCAAACCATGCTTATCTCCGACCATCGGCGAGACAGCATCGACTCTTCTCACTGGATAATTTGGATGACTTTGTGCTGAGCTGTTCAAGTTCATACTCACTTTACAACAAATCTACTTAACCTTCTGATCTACGTTGCATTTCGATCAATGGCATGTGTTTTCTCTCATCTAATAACATCGGTTATCAGTATCATTCCACAATTTCGACTCTTCTATTGTTTTCCTAAATTAAAAATCCGGTAATGATAATGTATGAGATGGTGATTAAAATGTTGTTTATTTGTTATTTGTTTTCATACCATTATCAAATTTTCAATATCAAAACCGTAACTCTTTTCTTGTATACGCTGCTGTCGTACTACATAACTTTGACTGCACTCTAAATCATAAAAACAATTCAACCTTTCCTAGAGCTCGATAGAAGCCTTTGATAAAATCATAAACTTATTTTGAATTCTAAGCCTACCATTGAAGCGTGCGGAAGGAATGTTCCACTTTTAGTTTGTACTCGTGTCTATGAGAAGTTGTTAGTAAAATAAATTAGTATCAGATGCTATCTCGTTGTATGCGGGAAGACGTATATATTACCAATGGTAAGTCGAATGAAAAACTTGAGCCAATTCTGCGAATAGCGGCTATCATAGATTATTCTTCAGGACAGCAATGCGAGCCCACGTGCAAACTCGCTTGTTCAATTGTCTCGTTAATTAGATAATAAGGATTTTGGTAATCCAAAAAATGACTACATTTTCCTTCTAAGATTGTGTAATTCGATACCTTCATACGTACGCCATATACAATTGGACCATTGTTTTTGCATTTCACGGTTCCATCATAGATCCTCTGCATCCGTTTGACGCGTTGCTCGACCCTGTTGATGCTAATCTTAGATTCGGTAGATACCTTTACGGTGAAAAGGGCGTTTATATATCTTTTTGGCTGCATCCAGTCACTTCCGCACCTTTAGAAAAGTGAAACCAACTTGTTATATTCTTAATCTACATGTTAAAGTGGCTGCTCCATATGAGTTTTTTTGTTTAGTCACCTGTCCGATTGAAAAAAGTCCTTGATCAATTATGGCTCTGTCAGCACAGCCAAGTAGAGCATTCGCAAATTGTTTATCAAAAGCATAAGCTTTCTAAGATATGGCCACCAAATTCTTAAGTTAATTGCTTTCATTGTTTCAAAACCTCCAATAACAATTTTTTACTTATCTTAAACCTTCAATGAATTGATTACTTTAAAATTGCAACCTCTCAACCTCGCCATCTGATATCATCTGCTGCATCCTTTCACTCCTAAAAACAATCCGCGATCCTGGAATTGCGAAATCACTCTTGCTTTTGAAATTTAATATATTTTGTAGAGTTTGCGATGAATGTCGATTTTGCTGTTATTAACTAGAGACATGCATGCACCCGCAGCGTATTTCATATGGAGGAAAAGCTGTGACCAGTTGTATTTGAGTCCCTATTTTAGTTCATTGTTTGTAATAAGAAAGGGCTTACATGGAAAGATTACGTTTTCTATCATGTCCTTACTCCATTTGCAGTGAGAAACTACAGTCCAATTTCCCTGGTGCCCTTTTTAAGGAGGGGTGCAAAAGGAATGTGGTGCAGCTAACTTGTACTCAGATTCTGGAACTTTTATGTATACCAGAAAAACTATCATTCCATTTTTTCATTAATTGTTTAGAATAAAGAAAACTTTATTCGAAAATTTGAAGTATATCTACAAATAAGGACGAATGCCCGCATTTCTAGGGCTCTTCGACATATAGTAGAATGGCGCTACCTCTTTTCACTTTTCTTCTCGATCAAAGCATTGATAACAGTGAAGTAGGATTGCTTCTTATCTTGCATTCTTGCATCGCTCCAGCGGAGGCGGAAAGAGGCAGATGTAGTATTGTCGCATTTTACTTTCACCAATATTCAAATAATTAATTGGCTTTTTTACATCAAATTGCTCAGTAATTAACGACTTGATCATAACGGAAGAAACACAGAGTTATTCGAAACACGTGGCCAAACATTATAGCTTCATTTTAAATTATTTGTTCGCTAAAGTCATCTCTTCAAACCCATCGCAGAGTCGTTTGAAAACAAATATGCTTTTAAAAAAGCTTCAAACAGCTTTTCCAGGAGTCCCTCGAAGTCCTAATCGCAGTTAAGTTTGATAACGTGATAGATTCAAATACTGTGCGTTATCCTTCTGCCTACATCTTTCGTCTATACTCTTGACGTCACAACACTCATGATGCGAGCGGTGCTTTCATACCGAAATCTATGACAGGGTCAATGAAAAGGAATTTTATACAACTTGGGGCTGTCACTGTAAGTGTGATTACCTCGACCTTCTCTTCTTCCCAACTTTCATGTGATTTTTCAGACTCTTGCGAACACTCGACTTCGACGGCTTCGTTTTTCGAGACGGTGGAAATTTTCTTCAGCGATACTTATATGGTTATTCCTTACTCTGTGCTACATATTGTACGAAGTTCAGTACAAGACCGGCATAGAACTTCTACCCTTTCTGCCGATTGATGACAGCGGATTTGAGTAAGAAA